CAAGGACCTTCTTGATGATGAAGGGGGTTAACGTTCAGAAGCGACTGATTTTCATTCACGCATCTGACAGCCAAATACCTTGCATTCTCTGGAGGGATAGCAAGTCGTTCACGTCGGTCGAAAGTAGGGGTTCCATTATTCATAGTCGAGGTCGTGGTCTTAGAACGGTCATGGGTCGCCCCTCCTCCTTGAGGAGAAGGGGTAGCCGGGGAATCAGTCATGCTGGGCATCGGACCAAGTCCGACCCCCTGGGCCCTTGCCCGTTGTCCTGAGGGGACCAATAAACCCCTTAACTATTGGTAATCAACCTAACAGCAATAGCTAAGAGAGTGTAGCAGTTTAACATCCTCTACCCCGCCAGTGGAAGCCTGGTTGTGTTCTCCAGTACCACAGAGGGATCGAGTTATGTGGGGGACACTTTCCTACCTCCGTACTTGCCGAAGCGAAGGACGGTAAGTCTATCCCCACCCCCCAGGCGAATACGGGAACCCACAAGGGAACTCCGGTAGGCTCAGGGGAGTCACATTAACAGCCGTATTCACAAACGATGCGAAGGCCTTATACGACGACCTTATACAAACGTCGTATAAGCTCGATGGTGCGTACCCACAATCACTGCGAAGGGCGGGAATTAGCGACGGCGATCGCATCATTTACCAGGCGTACCAACATTCCGATTGCTGCGATGGCGCGCAAAGTTGGTATGCCACGCATCAACTGTTCAACGTAAAAAAGCATGGACGGTAAGAAGACAGACCGTGCCATTCCTCTCTCTGAAAGGCAACAGCTTTGCCTGGTGAGCCTTGTCGCCGAGAGAGCTGACGTGGTTCAGTGCAAGAGCCAGGACCCCAAGCTTCTGAATAGAAAAAAGATGATTTGGGATGAAATTGCTGCTGAGTTTCGTGCAAGAAACCCAGGATGTGAGCATCGTGGAGCACAGCAGCTCAAGCGGTCATGGGACCACATTAAACGGAGGTAAGCTGTATTTACAACTGTTTATTTTTTTAAAATCATTACAACACATTGCAACATTTTTAAATATAGGGGAGAATATGTCATCCTGGGGTTGCTAAGGAAAGAATGTGGAATGTTAATTGTCCTTGCTATAACTGAAATATGTTTGTAATTCAGATAAGTTCAAAGGATATGTTGAATCTGGCATGATTATTATTCATTCTCTGAGTAAATGGTGTTGTATGTTTATTTAAAACAAATAATAATAATGATAAACCCAGGCCAATTAAGGAGAATTGATGTGATCGGTCTAAATAATTTTGGAATAGACAACGAGTCTGAGGAAATTAGGTGTCATTTTGTTAAGAATTCCATAACAATACTTTAAGGAGGGTTAATCATATATCCCGAAACTTTCAATGAAAAAAAATCCTTGGTAACTGTCTTCTAAATTATGAAACCATCCCTATTCATGCATTCTTGTCGTGAACAGCTAAATTATATAAATTAATATTAAAGAGGGAATTAAAAGAAATAATAAATTGGATTTACCTTTCTCTAAGCCCAAATATAAAATGAATTGGTGGCAGTCAGACAAGGAAATAAACAAATGAGCAAATAGCATTGTGTCAATCAAATGAATTTGTATTTCATGCCATAACCATTTATGTCATACGAACATATTTGTCATTATTTCATTCGCAGTAGCTATGAAAAAGAAGGTTATGTAATGGGAAACATGTGTGTCATTATCAAATATTGTTAATTTTGCACAATTTTACTACGCAGATGACAGCTGGCATCCATCCCCCTACACTGACAGTTTTCAGTTTTAGGCCAATAATGTTTTTCCTAATGTTTTGACACTTACTATTATTTGACTGATAGCCATTCTAATGCACGATTATGAATTATTATATAACAACTGTTATAAATTACAAATCATACTTAGCTCTCCTTTCTATTTTTATGGTCAAAATTTGATCAGTACGTTTCGTTATTTTGACAATATTTGTTATATCGCGGGGTCTGACAGCACTGTTTACCTTTTTCCCTCAATATTTGCTTATTCAGCTCTATCTTGGCTGTATTTATAATATGAGTCTGCCAAGAATGTATCCCAGGTAAGGTTATGGGGGTCACAGGCTATTTTTACATCCAATAATTTTGAAAATAATTGTAAATGCAGCTTTTACTATTAGAAGAAACAATTTTATTTTTAAATTTGAATCCTTTGCTTTACCAGATATTTACCACAAATATTGTTTGTTCTGTTAATCATGTTTACATTTGTTGTATTTCACATTAAACGTCTATGCATAGGCTTTGCATACCTTTAACAGTGCAATGATTTTTAAGTTAGATGTATGTGTTAAGTAATGAAATATTTACTCTGAAAAGCAACTAACTGTAAGTATGGGTTTATGTACTTTGAGTTGACTTTCGAAAACTGTAACTTTTGCATTTATCTACAGAGTGAAACAGGAGCAGGCAAAGCAGAAGAGAAGGAGAAGTGCTACTGGTGGAGGTCCACCACCAAGTCCACCAACCATGACTGAGGCAGTGTCTGCTGCTGCCTTAATCATGGGTCATGAGCTGGCCATGAACGATGAGCCATACGACTCGATGGGGTTACACCCTGTTGATGAGGACGGTAATCCAATTGCCAGTGTGTCCATAGGTAGGTACAGTCAGTTAAAATGTTACATCAGTTCACATGAGCATAAACTATATATTCCATAGAGGAGTTAAGGATAACTTAGGATTAATATAAACTAAAGTTTTCCCTAAATTACTATTATAAATTTGCTAGAGAATATCCATGGAACAGTAATAAAATGCTTAAATTTAGCCATGATTTCAAAAGTTAAACTTGGCAATCGGTTAAAAGCCATTTGTGATTGAAATTGTACTTATTTTTTATTATAGATCTAATAGATCTACAACAGCCAAGCACATCCAGTGTCCCTGCTCCATCCACTTCTTCCTTCACTCCTGTTCCATCCCCATCCCTTAATCTTTTTTCCTATTCAACCACTACCTCCATTAACCCATTTCACTCCAATCCTTCCTCCTTCCTTAGTTCTGCATATCTCCCACCAACACCTTCACCTTCCATAGTCCCCCCAACACCTTCTCCAATTCCTTCTACTCCTTCCCCTTCACTAGTCTCACCTTCTCCTTCGCCAGTTCCGACAACACCTTCTCCTTCACCTGTCACCACCCCTTCACCCTGTATTGTTGAGACTCCTGTCCAGGAACCTCCAAAGAAGAGGAAGAGGATAATACAGGAAGATGTATTTGAAAAGGCCCAGGAGAGACAGGAAAGCTTTCTCAGACAGAAGGAGAGGAGATTAGAGGAGCAACATCAGGCACAAATGCAACTATATGTAAGGATAAACCAGCTGTTGGACAATGCTGACCAACACATTAAAGCACTGTCCGATAGGCTTGGACGCTTTTTAGACGCAGGGCACGAGGCATATACGAGCATGTCTGAAGCGTATAAGATGATTGCTGAGGCAATTAGGCAACAGCACAATATGTTATGTTTGTGTTAATTTATTATTACCATTATTATTGTTTTATTATTTTATTTGTTAGTGTTTTTTCTTTTGTTTTTTTGATACAAGAAAAATTACTTATTTTCTTTGGAGAAGTTTTTTGCTTTGTAGTAAAAGGGTAATATTACATCATAGTCTAGGATTTTGTTTAAATTTGGTATATATCTTGATGTTGAAGACCCAAATGCTGTTTCAAGTCAATTAGTTTCAATTATAGTATTTCAGGGCTCCCCCCCCCGAAAAAAATGGTAGAAATTTCTTTTATATTAACCGTAGGAAGGCCAGTGAGGGCTCATTTTGAAGCTCTGAGATATAACCAATAATGGATTTGGACCAGTGCTCGGGAAAGTGTGAAATATACTTGAAAAACATTTTTTTTCCCGTTTATCCCTGAGAATTAGTACATCCCCCTCCCCCACCTAGACTGTTTCTTGTGCCAATCAGTTGTTTAATCAGAGTGGAACCTCAAAGGGTTTTGAAGCTATGAATCTTTTTATTGGGTCATTCCATGTGAATTCAACAGGAGTTAGATTACTTCATAGCTTAGGATTTTTTTAAAATTTGGTATAAATATTCTTCTTGGTGTGGAAGACCCCAATTCCAAATTTCAAGCTAATTAGGGTTTTGGGGACAAAATTATGGGGTTTTGAATATTTTAGTACTTAGGGGTTTTGCACAGCCCCCTGAAAGGAAAAGGAGTAGTGTTTTCTTTCATAATAACCCTAGAAAGGCCAGTGAATGCTCAATTTGAAGCTCTCTTTGAGATATGTTCAGAAATGCATTTGGACCAGTGCTAGGGAAAGCATGTTATGAAATGTACTTGATAACATGCTTTTCCTAACACTGGTTCAAATGCATCTCTAGACATATCTCAAAGAGAGCTTCAAAATGAGCTCTCACTGGCTTTCCTAAGGTTATTATAAAAGAAATTACTACAATGTTTCCTTTTGGGGGTTGCGCGAAACTCCTAAATACTATAATTTTCACAAGATGATTTTGTTCTCAAAACCCTAATTGGCTTGAAAATTGGAATTTGAGTCTTCCACATCAAGAAGAATATAAGTACCAAATGTAAACAAAACCCTAAGCTATGATTTAATACTGATATCAAACTCCTGTTGAATTCATATAGAATGACCTAATAAAAAGATTCATAGCTTCAAAACACTTTGAAGTTCCATTCTTTTTCTATCCTGATTAGCACAAGAAATTTGCTGTGCGTGGGGGGGGGGATACTAATTCTCAGGGATAAATGGAAAAGAAAGTTGGTTTTTTAAGTATATTCCATAACCTAAATAAGCTATTGCTGGTCCAAATGCATTTCTGGACATATCTCAAAGAGAGCTTCAAGATGAGCCCTTACTGGCCTTCCTGGGGTCATTATAAATGAAAATACTATCATTTTTCCTTCTGGGAGGCTGCGTAAAACCCCAAAATACTATAATTTTCAAAACCCCCAAATTTTGTCCTTAAAAGCCTGAT